GGGGACTGGGGTCTGGACCGGGACCGGGGCGGGTCCCCTCGTCCCGCCGCGGCTGCTGATGGCCCGCTGTGCCCCGCAGGTGCAGGAGAACATCGAGCGGTTCTTCACCCGGTTCGTGGAGGAGGGCAAGGCCACCGTGCGTCTCCGGGAGCCCGCCGTGGACGTCTGCCTCAGCAAGGTGGGTGCGGGGCCCGCGGCTGCCGGGCCGGGACACCGGTGAGGGGGCGGGGGGGCGGCTCCGCCGGGGTGCTGGACGGGCCCCGCTGGTCACCGGGCTTGGGGTCCGTCTGGCGAATGCCACACAGCGACTAAGTCTTGTCTGAACAGTCTCGTTTGGCCTCTTGCAACTTTGGCACAGGAGGTGTAAGCGAGGCGGCACGAAGGAGCTTGGTTTTGTATGTCCTCAACTGGCTGCAGCAAAAAGGGAGATACAAAGAAACCCGCTCGTTTTGTGCCGGGCAGGCTGAGCCCGGCTTCTTTGCTGCGCTGCCTTCTGGTTCTCCCTTATCCTCCCCCCTCTGAGGCAACAGCAGGAGCAGAAAAGCCCCATTTTCCCTGTAGTTCTTCACCTTTTGTTTAGAAAGCAACAACTTTTTTCGCATCTCTGGTTCGACTTCCTGCTCTTTGGCCACGGGTTGTATCAAACAGGTCGTTGCTTACAGTCTTTCTGACTAAAAACTGGAAAATGTTCACGTCTGAGCGGATAAGCAGTGTCCCCGCTGTGGTTTTCAAAGCTGGAGACACGCAGTATGGATCAGCAGTACAGGCACCATCTCGCCTTAATGCTTAGCTGATGGTTGGACTCACCAATGTATTCGTTTACAGTTCATAGGGTATTTGGAAGCTGTTAAAATGTTGTTAATAATGCTAAATTCACCCCCACCCCACCCCCCAAAAAAAATCACACATTAACAGTCAATTTTTATATTGTTAATTTTTCTTCTGTGCCTGTTCGAGTAGTCTTTTCTAGCCTTGTGGAAAAGGAAAGCAGGACGTCTCTTCTAAAACCTTAGAGTTAGGATGTGTAAATACAAGGAAATAATGTTTGGAAAATCACGGTGACTTGCAGTTGCAGCTGTGATTCTTTGGCCTGAAGGAGATCCTTTAGTAATTTCAGTGATGTCAGACTGAGCAGCTGTAATCAGGAGTGGTGAAGCTTACTCCTTCAGAAGCAGAACGTTTTCCCAAAGGGCCCATCTAAGGAGAAATGTGCAGGGTGTGTTTAAACTGCAGCTGCAACAGGCACCGACAACAGTCTTGCTAGAGTAGAGTGAAGCTCGGGGTGGGCTGCAAGGTCTCCTTGAGAAACAAGGTGAACGAATCAGGACAGTGATTTACTGAAAAGAAAACAAATATGACCCGTCAAGAAAGAAAAAGTGCTTGTTTTGTTGGGAATAAGACCAATAACTGAATATAGACCTGAATATAGTTGTGGTAGCCTAAGATTTTGCAGTATGTGGCGCAGGACTATGATGATCGGGAAATACCTTGTCTGTGCAAGAGTGAAGACTATGGTGGAAAGGAAATCAGCCTTAATTCGATGAAGAGAGCAGTTCCTCTTACAGGGGTAAATAGAAAAGAAGCTCTGTGTGTTCAAATCCAATTAAATTAAATTTTTATTGTCAGAAGCAAATGTGCTCTGTATCATGCAAAAAAGAAAACTCACACATGTTGCATTAGATCCAGAATAATTTATTTTTCTGTGTCCTTTACTCTGAGTATTTCTGCTGAAGTGTGAGAAGTCAAAAAAGCTTTATCCTTGAACAAAGGTACAAAAGCAGGCCTGTTGTAAGAGGATCTACTAGTAGGATAAAATTGGAGAGGAAAGGTCTGTGTCTTAGTGCTCCAAGATCTAATTTAATCCATTTATAGGGCCTGTAAGGAAACTGTGTGACAGATACTCTTTCAGTGTGGGTAGTAATTTAGTTAACAACTCTCTCTGTTGTTTTCTATATGAGAAAATAGTCCACAGCGTTGTTAGACTGAAAAGAAAGTCTCAACTGAATCTAATGAAACGGGAGTTAGAATAATGACCAGAGTTGCTCTGAGGAGGCTAGATCCTTGCTCCCCATTTTTAACATCAGGCTCACCCCTCATACTGTCAAGCTCCAGGAACAAATCCACTAAATTCTTCCAAAGCCAGTGATAACATATATTCCTTTTAAATTCTGAAAATCTGGAAACCCAATTTAAGATTATTGATAATTTTTTTCATAGTGCTTCTGCTAGTCTTTCATAATTTCGTTACAGAAAGGCTTCATAACTCTCAAAGATGGACAAAAGCTTTGTAGAAGAGAGATTTCCAGGTATACATATGCTGATTGCGTGCAGCTACCATGCAAAACCCACTCTTTGTACTCTGCCAGGCGGTGCGATTTGCTGCATCCAGCCACATCAAACATTAAGTTGAGAAACATCGGTCTGGAGCATTCGACCCTGGAGCAAAAATAATAAAATCACTGTGGGTTGTTGTGTGTTTTTTTTTTTTCCTTCAGCAAGCCTGTGCCTGCTGCATTGCATGCAAAGTCTGAAATCCATGTAATCTCTGATTGCCTTGTCAACATTCATTTAGTTCTGAAACAAGGGACTTGGAAGGCATTAACGCACATTAATCTCTTTTCCCAACATCTTTTCTGTGGTTGAGACTTCGGACTTGCTGCAGAAAACTGTGTCCTGAGAGCTTCCAACTAATTCTTTGCCTTTTTTCTTAGATGTATCTTAGTATTTGTCTCAAGATATTCAAGGTTTCTCAACAACAAGGTTTACAGATACTACATTGCCTTTACGAAGGTATTGTGGAGGAAATGTGTCTCAAGGATTCAGAATACAAAGTACTCTTATTCTCAAGTCACGTGAACAGTGTAAACTTATTCTTAACATCCTAGAGCTTTTGGCTACAAGAAATAGGTATCTGTTGTGTCTCGCGTTTTGAGATGAGTGAAATATTGCCTGTACCTCAATTCTAATGTATAGTTAGTTATTTTACTTGGTCCTTACAGAGCTGGAGGAATTTTTCTCCTTACTTCCAAATTTAGTTAGCTACTTATTACCCTGAGAAACATGATGAATCTGCCTGTAGTTAGGGGGTGTCCCGTATCTAGATGTTTTAGTTAGATTGGTTGAGATAATGAACACTGGTGGTCTTGGATAACAAAGGTTTTCGATGTGCAACTTGCTCATCTCTGGAGGGTATCACATCAGGAGTTAAGAGAATAGATGTGCATGGGATGAATAAGGAGACCAGTCAAATATGTTTGACCTTTATTGTCTTCATATCACATTAGCATCCAGAAGTTTCCAAGATCATTGGTGCTAGGTGCTTGTAGCATATTATGTAAGGTAGTTCTGGACACTCTAGAATTTGTTATAAACAAATACATTTAGGAGCCAGATTGTCTTTCAGGTGCAGAAAATGGATGTCACTAGGCAATACAGGTCATCTGACACTTCATTAATTTCACACTCTGTCCTTACTGCCACTATATTATATCCCACCTAAAGCAAAATTGGTCAGTTGTTTGCAGGACTGCAAATTATTATCTTGTTTGAAGCTGGCACAACCAAAAAGAGCTGTGTGTGACCAGAAGCACTTACTTAACCTGCATTGAAGCTTTCCACCTTCCTTTATGTTTGAATCGAACCTCAGCTTCCATCCTTTTCCTTCCTAGCAACTTTCAGAAATGATTGTCTCAAGTTTTAGATCTTGGATTTCCCCGTGTGTGTTTTTATAAACTGTCCCTTTATCATGCTGCAGGTTAGGAAGATCACAATGCATCAGGCTTTTTTCCTGTACTTTATTTTCAGCTGTGAATTCAGTGCTTTGTTCCTTTTCTGAGTAATGCCATGCAGTTTGTTTGATCTAGATTATTCAGAGAGGCCGTAACTTCTCATTCAAATTGCATGCCATTTGTTCTTAAATACTGTAAACAGCACGTCAACCTAATAAGCCCCACTTGTTTCCCTTTCCCATTTCATTGCCCTGCTGAGTTAGTAGCTCCTGATACATGTACAAAATAGTTCAGAAAATGTTAGTACAAATAAGCACAAGAATAATGAACTTTTCATTCCAAATTTGTGTTTTCCTGTAGGCAAATGCCAGCAATTTAAAGAATTTCCTTTCAGCTGTGAGACTGGCTCACCAAGGGACCGACATAGGAGCTCTCCCGCTCTCAGCTTTGGTACCAGCAAAGACCTCAGAAGTTGAAAAACCCAAGACAAAAATGATCATAACTTCAAGAAGGGACTATCCTCTCACCAAAAACTTTCCTTACTCCCTCGAACATCTCCAAGCCTCGTACTGCAAACTTGCTCGGATTGACATGCGCGTGCTTTGTTTGAAGAAACTCCGAAAACTAGACCTAAGTCATAATCATATTAAGCAGCTGCCAGCTACTATTGGTGACCTGATCTGTCTTCAGGAGCTTAATTTGCACGACAATCACCTGGAGTCGTTCAGTGGGGCTCTGTGCAACTCCACCCTTCAGAAATCTCTTCAGTTCTTGGACCTCAGCCAAAACAAAATTAAGGCACTTCCAATTCAGTTTTGCCAGCTGCAAGAACTTGTTAATTTAAAGCTCGATGACAATGAGTTGATTAGGTTGCCATTCAAGATTGGCCAGTTAGATCATCTACGCTTTCTGTCAGCAGCTCGAAACAAACTTCCGTTCTTGCCCAGCGATTTTAGGAAACTCTGTCTTGAGAACTTAGATCTGTTTGGAAATCCTTTTGAACAGCCTAATCCACTCGTTCCCAACATACAACTGAAAATACCATTGACTTTATTAGAGTGTGCTGCAAGAGAAACCATAAATTACAGGTAAGGGTAGCACGATGCATAGACATTGCACCTACTCCATTTCAAACCTCTCGAGTCTGAACTTTCCTGACTTGATTTTTTTCCTGTCGGTGGCAATTGCTCTTCACCTATTAAAAATCATGAGGTTAACGTTGCTTTGAATTCCACTTGTAAAATCACCCCTTTATTATACAGGATAACGCAGTAATGGGTGACTTGGAAACACTTAGAGAGAGCTATGGTTTGAAATGTTTTTATCCACAAAATGGGGGCACCGTAACAGAATATTCTTTCCCAACTGAGAATCAGTTCTACAACCCTGAACTGATTCTGGCATTTTGTGTTGAGGAGCTTATATTACAGGGGATTTTGTGGCACGGATCACATTTTGTCTTGGGCTCTAGTTCAGAAATTGCTTTCAAACCTGGTTGTCCTTCATCCTGTGCTCGCATTAAAATACGCTAAAGCTGTGTGTATTTCCCATGAGCCTGTCGCTCTCCCTTCCCTTGTGAGAACAGTGTGTTGGCAAAAGGAGACCTTTTACCATACAGCTCCTCGTTACAGACATGATCGCTCTGCCCCTGCTTGAGATGGGACCTTACACAAGCCGAGTAGTGCTGGAAAGGTACCACCAGGTGGCTTCTCAGAGGCACAGTGTCACGATGGAGTTCTGCTGAGGGGTTCTCCCTACCTTAGCTTTTCCTTGAGCTGTTAATTTCCTTTGGTGTTGGAGTGAGGGTTTTCTGTCTTAAGCAGAGAAGCCCAGTTGTGAGGTAATTTATTACTATTTCACCCAAGTGACCACCATCCTTGCCAGGCTGCTGTTCATTATCAATTTTCTCCCCTTCCCCCATGCCGCTTACACAGCTCTGCCTGCATGCCGCTGCCTGTGATCCTCCCGGAACCAGCTGCTGCTACTCCCACCCTGTTCTGGGTGGAAAGGGAGCAAGAAGATGGAAAAGAGTCACGGGTACAGACAGGGGGTGAGAGACAGACTTGAAGTGTTCCTAATCAACATTCTGTGCCCACTCCTGCCCTGGGGGTGGGGAGCGCCCCATAAACCTGGGTTAATTGCTCAGAAGTCTGTGCTAAAGGTGTCCACAGGCACGCAGGGCACACCCTGGAAATGAGCTGAGCAGCCAAATGTTCTGGTTCAAAACTCAGCCGCTTCTGACCTTGCTGATTTTATTACAGCAATTAAACTCCACGTGTCTCCTTTCCCAACTTTATAGAAATTGCAGCGGTTTCGATATAAATATTGTTAGGGCATGTTTTTTTCTAGAGAATGTAGTCACTCAACACTGGTCAGATTTTGGTGCTGAGTTACATTACCGGAGTACTTAAGGATACCCAGTCATTAACCCAGCCCCTGGCCTCCACGCAACAGGCTTTAAGAAAATGGAACCACAACAAAGGCTTTCTGCTCCAGGAGTCTCAGTGAGACAAGAGGCAGTGGAAACAGTCCCCTTGCCCAGGCGTCTGTGATTATTAGGAGACAGCATTGGTCAGAGTGCTCCTGATTATCTTAAATGGAAAAGGAAAAAAAAAAAAAGAAAAAGTCTTGACAAGTGGGCAACAGACGTTCTGTCTGCCGTTCACCAGATGTAAGAATTAACAAAGAAGGAGAAACAGGAGCGATGATGGGCTGTAAAAATGTTGAGAGAGGAAAAAACCAGAAGGAGGGAAGATGCGAAAGCAAATGTTTGGAAATCAATCATCATAGCAGCATTCTGGGCAAGTACCAGAGCTGTGATGGTGCTTTTCCTGACCGGAAAAAAGGATGTCCTGAAATTGAGGTGGTGAAAAAAAAAACAAAACCCACAGGAGTCTTAGCTGTGTGAATGATGGTGTGTAGAAAGAATTGGGAATATGTAGGTGTAGTCGAGATGTGAGTCAGTGAGACCTATTTTGTGAGTCTCAAGTGACAGCTGGCACTGGCGATACCCACACTTTGAAGTTAACTTAACGAAGTACTTCAGGGAAATTATTTATTTTGTACCCCAAACATAATGCTGCTCTGCTGCAAATTTAAAAAGAAGCAGTTCCTGTTCCTGTCTCTGGATGTCATTATTGACACGATGGACAAAAAGAGTGGTATATCAAGAGAACCTTAATTTATTGCCTGCAATGTAGTACTACTGTAAAAAGGCTCATTTTATCTCCTGTTTCCTCTGGATACAATATTTTTACACTACTACCAGAGTGAGGAGTAGATTGTGGGTGCTTTGTCAGGCCAGGATGAAACACAGTGGTCTTCCTGGCTAATATGAGGCAAGAGCAGGTACATGCCCAGTTGACTCATTATTCTTAATCTTCTTTTTAATTCCCTTATTCTCCATCACTGTGGTACAGGCTGTTACAATTTGCGTGAACTCCCTGGTTCTTGTTGCAATGTCTTCTGGACAGGTTCTTGGTACTTAGGGGTCAGGAACACAGTTGCATGTTTTCAGTGACTGTCTTGGAAAGCAGCATTTAATTCCTAACCAGTCCAATATTGCAAGTGGCAAAATTTCAAATTTGCCTTGTCTATGATCTCAGAAAGGCATTTTTTCCAGCTGGTCACTGTGTTTGAGTGACATTGGTTAATTTTGTAGTGAATTCACACTTGCTCCTCTTGTTCAACAGAATCCCTTATGGCTGTCATCTCCTTCCTTCTCACCTCTGTGAAGATCTGGAAGTGGCTAAAACATGCCAGTGCGGAAGTGCCTGTCTGAGCAGTTTCATTCAGATCACGGTCACCATGAATCTGCATCACGTAGCTCACACCGTGGTCCTCGTGGATAACATGGGAGGTACGGAAGCACCCATCATCTGCTACTTCTGTTCTCTAGACTGCTATTCCCAGTTCCTGGATAGGTACCTGCAGAGTAACGGGTGACTGTTACCAGGTGCAAAAGCTCTGCCTGAAGTTCTGTCCAGTGATGGAGGAGCCTGAAAATGTTTTCTGCTTGTTACCCACTCGTGCTGTCATAGGGCGTTTGCTGCAGATAGCAAAAGTCAGTCTTGCAGTGAGGGAGCGCTGTCAGCTTGATCCAGTGGCCTGACTGTCCCTCTGCCACTAGAGTCTCTCTTTGGTTGGAATAAAAGGCAATGCTTAGCTTGAATGAATCTTTCTTAGAATGTATTTTGCTTGCTTTTTCCTATTACTGTGACTTCGTTTGGAGTGTCATGACAGTTTTCTTTGTTTTGTGGCTAAGTGGTGGTTTCTTGCTAGGAGAAGGAAGGTGAGCGTGTATCAAACTGCTTTGTTTGCTTACACTTGAGGCTCTGAACTCTGCCTACGGAAGATGACTGTGTTGACTTTATCACTGGACTGGACTCTGCCCAACTTGTTTACTGTAGAGCAATTTGGTAGGCTGCTATGAGAAGAAATTACAGTGTGAGCAGTTCAAAACTGGTCATGCAGTTCCAGGTGCTTCTTTTTAAAAAGTTCTGTTATAACGTTCTCACTTCAAGCAGGGACCAGCACTGCTGTTTTTTTACCAGAGCAAATGTTTTTTGTTTTATCTCTTTGTGATACAAGAAATGTGGGGTTTTTCTAATTATGTGACCTAAACTTTGTTTCTGAACTCTCATGTTTTAAAGATTCTTGAATTGTTCACTCTGACGACTTATTAAATCTTGAAACCCTTCTATGTACATGTGAATTGTGTTTTACCTAATGAGTTTTTCATCCAGTGCATTCTAGGGATTAGCTCCTGGCCTTTTTCCTGGTGAAGATACCAAAGTACTTAAGAGTATCCACACACCTTTATTTCATGTCTTGTCAGCTGGTCCATGGCTGGGCTACTGAAACAGCATGGAACAAAAGTCCCTTGAGAAGTCTTTACACATCCCATGCCCTGGGACATATGATGGCTTGGAGGGAGCATGTTCCGATGCTATTTTTGAAGCGGTATTGACCGCCCAGGAGTGAATTGCACATTTTGCATCTCTTTGGGTCATAGATAAGTACACAGCTGTGACAATTATATGTAGTTTCAATGGGAAAACAAGATACTTGTGGTTACCAAGTGCAGAACTGATCTAGACTGGGTTTCAAGTGATAGCCTGATGCGATGTATAGCGTGAGGAGCAGCCCGAAAGGCAGCTGCAGACTTTGGAGGAAGGTACTGCCTTGCAGGTATCATTTTTAATGTCTCCTACATGAGCACAACCTTCGTCCGTGTTTTAAAAATCACCAGTTTCAAACTCTTTGGTAATCTGAGATATTCACAGCGGAAGTAAATGTTGAAGCACGCCTACTGAAAGGCTTGGCTCTGACAAGGGCAAGAGGCTCATTTTCCTGAGGAAGAGGATCCTTTATTCTAGAAATATTGAGTGTCATGAAAAATTTCTGCAGATGTCAAAATAACTTGGACCGTGTTCTCGTCATACAGTATTTGTAAAAGAGTGACTTTTAAGCAACTACAGAAAGATTTGAAATGAATCATTTCTTACGTGTTGCTCTTCAACTACAGAGAACTTGTGAAGGAGGAGGCCAAGTGTGTCTGTTTACCTCAACACTGATCTCCAGAAAGCGCCGCAGCGCTAACCCTGGGAGGTTTTAAATAGTCATATGCTAATGCTGTTGGAAAGGGAGAGAGAGCTCGTCCTGATTGCAGCAGCCTGAAGATTACTCATTTGGAAAAATACCTTTTAGGTGGAGTGCATGATTAAGAGGAGGGAAGTGGAGTAGACAGAGAAATTGGGCCTCCTGTGGGACTCCTCAGGAATTTTAGCTGCAGCTGCAGATGTGTGGGTGGCTGTGCAGTGGCTGAGAGCCTCCCGGGGAGCCAGCTGTGCTGGGCGGAGGAGGAAACCCCACCTGCGTGGCCCAGGAGGTGAGCAGCCTGCTCGCCAGGGGTGGGCTGTGAAGTCCTGTCCAAGCCCTGCTGTGCTGGGAGAAGGGATCAGCTGGGGGGTTAAAGGCCAACGTGAAGAGGACCACGGCCTCTCTTGGCGTGAAAGGGAGACGGTGAACTATGGGAAAGGGTTTTTTTCTGTGGGAATATTTTGCTGCCAGCTGTGCACGTACAGCTGTTTTTTAAATCCTCTGTGTGTACACTGGGATGCCGTTTATCTCTGAAGCAAATGTTATCCCCAAAACTGACTTGGCTTCCCTCAGTCCTCTGAAAGTACAGCAGCTGACGCAGCATGGAGGAGGGCGGAAGGGGGCTGGAGAAGTTCCCCCCCAGCCATCGCTCTGTTAGTACCAGAGCACCTTCTAGCAATGCTGCGATTTCCCCAGCATGCTGTGATCTAGATGTCTCCACCAAAGTCAAACATGCGGAGATTTCTAAACTCCCTGCTTTCCCACCTTCCAGCGAAAGATGGAGAAAGGGGAAGGCTTCTAGAGCCAAGCAGAGGGGTCAGAGGGTTCTACAATATCCCCAGGTTCCCTTGGCCATCCATTCCAGCCAACTTCATGACAATGAAGTGTCTTACAATCCCCGCAAACAAACTCTCTCCATGCTGCAAAGCATTTGTCTCGGTAGGGTGACATTTTCCAATGGCAGCGCCATCCCAGAGGCAGCACAGTGCTTGACGAGTAGTCAGGGCTGGAGCCGTGCTGGCTGCAGAGGGACAGCCAGCCGGGGCAGTGACTGCAGCATTGCCGGGGCGGCTCCATGCCCGTGCTCTGCCGAGCCGGCCCTGCCTGCTGTCAGCCAGCCGGGAGATGATGAAGGAGCCAATGGCAGAAGCCATTCTTCAGAGTTAGGTAAAGCCAAAGCAGAAATCCCTCCTTTCAGGAGCGTCTTCTCCAGCGGTTTGCATTGCCCGCCAGCAAGACAACTGTGGTGTCCATAGATCCCCTTCAGCTCACTTCTCATCGCCGCACTGGGCTCGTTGGGGAAAAGGCCGACGAGCAGGGGTGGACGCCGGCGTAGATGGCAAGCGACAGCCACAATTCTGCTGTCTGATACTGCAAACGCAGGAGTGTGCCTGACCCAGCTGTTGTGTCCAGGGCTTTCCATAGAGAAAATGGGATCAGGCAAAAATTATTCCCAAAAGAAACTATTCTACCTCATTTATCATACTTGTGGGGAACTCTGTAGGGCTATTTGTGTGGTGTTTCCTGTTTGTAGCAACGCGATCGGATTAAATCAAACCAACTTCCTTGCAAAGCCCGGGCTCTCTCTTTTAACGAGTGCTCTATTTTAATGCCTCACTTGAAATCAACCCATTGTGCCCCGGGTGATTAGGAGAAACTTGCAGAGTTATGCAAAGCTCAGCTGTGATCAGCAAAGGTCAAGCCGTGAAACTCATTAAAAACATGTCCTAAGCATAGAAGCATCGCTCCGGTCCCTCCTGTTAAATGTGGTGCCCAAGAAGTTTGGTGTTTGCCTTGGGACGGCACAGAGTTGGGCACTGTTGGCTCAGTCACGTTGGATTAAGGCAACCAATGGCTCTCACCCCGAGTTGGAGGATGCTGTCTGATGTGAGATGCTTTTAAATGCAACGGAAACCTGCAGTTACCCATCTCATCTGGGGGAAAAAGCCTTGATGGCAGATCTCAATTTGATACTCCTGAATGCTGCTGCAAGCTGGGCTAGTGGCAGAGTGGATCGTTCTTTAATTAGCCTGATTTTGCTGTGCTGATGCCACTTTGCATTATCTGAGTGCTCTGTGATCTCTAATGTGTTTATCTGTACTCTGCCTGTGTGATAGGGAAACCCCATTACCCCAACTGGGCAGTGTTTCAGTTGCCGGAGTTTTACCCACAGCTGTACAAGGTGTTAAATCCGGCTCTGTGGAGGCTGCCTTCTTGGGGCAAGAAATACTTAGAATTATGGAAACGAGTCTTGACGTTAACCCAGACTAAAAAGGGGTGAGGTGCAGCGGAGATCCTCGTAAGTGCAGCGAAACCCGGGGCAGGGCACTTGGGGAGACGCAGAGCTGCTGCAGGCAGAGACGGTCAGAAATTCCTACTGGATATGGCTGGGATGTGCCAGTGCTGCCGTTCACTCAGAGCACAAGTATTAGGAGGAGCGGCTGAGGGAACTGGGGGTGTTCAGCGTGGAGAAGAGGAGGCTGAGGGGAGACCTTATCACCCTCTACAACTACCTGAAAGGAGGGTGCAGCGAGGGGGGGTCGGTCTCAGCTCCCAAGTAACAGGTGATATGGCAAGAGGAAATGGCCTCCAGTTGCACCAGAGGAAGTTTAGATTGGATATTAGGAAAAATTTCTTCACTGGAACGGTTCTCAAACATTGGAACAGGCTGCCCAGGGAAGTGGTTGAGTCACCATCCCTGGAGGGATTCAGAGGACATGTCGATGTGGTGCTGAGGGACGTGGTTTAGTGGTAACTTGGCAGTGCGGTTGGACTCGATGATCTTAAAGGTCTCTTCCAACCAAAACAATTCTATGGTTCCGCAGCCAGCCCAGTCCAGGACCCCATGGAAACCTGCACAGGGGCTGCCAGCCGCTGCCATCCCCCAGTGCGGCTCCCGGAGGGCTGTCAGGTTGGTAAAGCTTTTCAAAAGAAAACTGGCGCAATTTCTGCGCGCGCAAAGTGGAGCGTTGGGGTAGAGCTCTCCTCCTGCCGCGGGTCCCAGGGACCTGCGCAGGTGACGGCGTCGCAGCCTCAGGAGCAGCCCACACCGCACCACGTGGCACGAAACCATCACCGCATTCCGCAACTGGCCCGTGGCCACCCAGGAGAGGGGCTGGGACACGACGTATGGAATCACAAGAGTAACTCCTGCAGTCACTTGGAATCGTAAAATTATTTTATTATAGATTATTCTTGTAATTTTAGAATTATTTTATGTATTATTCCTGCAAGTCTAGAATTATTTTCTTACCTTATTCTTGCAATTCTAGAGTGATTCTCTTATTATTCTTGAAATTCCAGAATTCAGTCTTGCAATTCTAGAATGAATTTATTCTTGCAAATCTACACGGATTTTATTATCTTATTCTTGCAATCCTGCATCATCTTATTGCAAATCTAGGATGATTTTATCTTATTCTTGCAATCCTAGAATGAATCCCGTTACAAATCTAGAATGATTTGATCATCTTATTCTTTCAAATCTAGAATGATTTTATCTCACTCTTGCCATCCTAGAATTATTTTCTTATCTTATTCTTGCAACTCTGGAATTACTGTATGTATTATTCTTGCAAATCTAGAAGAATTATTTTATCATATAGCATTCTTGCAAATCTAGGCTGATTTTCGCATCTCTTTCTTGCCATTCTACTAATATTTTATCCGATTCTTGCAAATCTGGAACGATTTTATTGCCTTATGTGACTCTTCCAACTCTAGAGGGATTTTCTGCTGCTGCCCTCGGCACCCCACCGCGCCTTGCCCCATTCCAGCCCCCCAACTCTCCAGCTCCAACCCGCCTATTGCCTAATTACTACATCCCCCCACCCCCAATTACCGCTGACCAATCACGGTGCCGCTTCTCCAAGCCGTCCGGCGGGGGAGCGGGGCCGGGGGCTCTCCCCTCACCTCCTCCCGCCCGAGGTGATGGCGGCGCGGCGGAAGCGGCCACGAGTGACGGCTCCGGCGACCAATAGGACGGCGGCGTGAG